AAGGATGGCACGGAATTAAAGAGCCGGAGACAGAATTGGACTAAGTTAGGTCTGAGAAGTTTGTACATCATCCCAGAGGTAATGATGAGGTAAGAAACAGGTGATTTGGTAAGTGTAGGCAAATAATTTTGTGGATTTTGGTTTGCTTATGTTTTTTTTTTATTCTAGTTTTTTTCCTCAATTACAAAATTGATGTAAGTTAGAGAAAATTTGTAAATGGCAGAAAAAAGTGGAAAAAATCTTATGATTTTTTTGCATGGATTTGCAATTCTTTTTCTACTGAGATAATTTCAAAATGTTATATACATTGTCTTTGAGAACCTTTGATACCATATACCACTGTTACTACCCTTGTTGTCTGTTTACTTGCCTGTCACCCTTGCTAGACCTTGTTTAGGGTCCTGAAGTGAGAACAAGGAATTTTTTTAAAAAAATTTTTAAGTTTATTTTTTTATTTTGAGAGTGAGAGAGAGAGACTCCCAAGCAGGCTCCTCACTGTCAGCACAGAGCCCAACGTGGGCTTGAACGCATGAACCATGAGATCATGACCTCAGCCGAAATCAAGTCTGGACTGTGCCGCCCAGACGCCCTAGGATGTTTTGTTATCTCTGCATCCCAAGCACCTAGCAGGTCTAAGATGTATCAGTGGTCATAGAGTGAGTGGTCTCTCATCTCACCAAGGTCTACTTTAACCGAAGAAAGGGAAAGCCAGAACCTGTGCAAGACTTGTAGCATCCACTGTGGATATAGGGATGAGAACTAAACAGAAATGAGTGAGAGAGCTGGCATACAGCAAGAAGCTATATAGATAATAGATATGCCAAAGAAATTATGAAGTTTGCTTTGGAATGGACCAGCCCAGTCATTCTCAACATCACCAGGAAACTTGTTAGAAATGCAAATTTTTGGCTCCCATTCCAGGCCTACTGAATTTGAAACTCTGAAACTAAAATATTGCATTCTAAGAAGTACAACTGATCACGATAAATGCTCAAGTGTGGAAACCACTAGCGGAGAAGAGCAGTGAGACCACAGGACTGAAGTGAGGACTGCAGCCTATGAAGACTGGAAGCCCAAGGATGGATGTGATGTCAGTGAACATAACCATTGAACAGCCATGGTAGCTGGAACAGGAAAACTAGATTATATTGTTACAAAGAAAGCTGAGTGTGTGGTAAATGGACAGGATCTACCGATCTTGTTTAGTTCACTGCCTTCCTGATCTTAGCATGTACTTAGAGCGCGTAGATTTAAAATAGATTAGGAGACTCAAAATCTCCCACACTCAAAATCTACACTCAGATTTTCTCTCCTGTCTCCACACAACTGCCTACCAAACTCTAGCTGTCTCCTGGGAGCGTCAGATCGCTAAAACCTTTCCCTTCAAACCTGTATGTATCACTGCATGTGTTTCCTATTTCAGAGAATCGGACTACCATCCACCCAATTACTCAAGTCAGTTATTCTTGGCTTATTTCTCCCTAAATCGTGTCAATTCTACCTCTTTATAGCTTTAAGGATACCTATTTTTCCCCAGCCCTGCTGATATCTTTATAATTTAGGCCATCATTATTTTCTCATTGATCACTTTAATAATCATTTAACAGCCATTGTAACTGGTGTCTATGCCTCAAGTCTTTTCACCCTCAAATCCATTGTGAATATGGCCAGAACAGGCTGTCAAAAACGCAGATTTGATTAGTTCTTTTCTTAAAACTATCCGGTGGCTCCCCATTAACATCTTGATAAAATACAGCCTCCCCAACTTGGCTGTGAGGGCCTTTACCACTGGTCTCCTGCTTTCCTTTCCAGCGTATTGTCCTTGCACCTTCAGGCCTTGTTACCTGCTCACCCTTTCCTTGGAATGGCCTTCTCACCTTCCTCTCCCAGGCTGACTGCTTTCAGGTAGCTGCTTACATAGTACCTCTCCACGAAGCCTTCGCTCACCTTCGATGTCTAGTGTTAAGAATAATGCCAAATTGCTCCTTGCATATCACTCATTGTACCTTACTGTTATTGCCTGTTTATTAGTTTATATTAGCACATACTTTCTCGCCCCCCACCCACCACACTACATCATAGTCTCCGCAAGGATTGAGACGGTTGTCGGTTCTACCATTACATCACGAGCTCTGACACAAAAACTGGAAAATAGCAGATGTTCAACAAACATGTTGACATAGGTAATAATCAGCCATCTGGACACGGTCATTTGAAATCCTTTTGAAGGCTGATGGCTAGGAATTTGTCTTTTCTATCCTTCACCTACCCCTGACTTTATCCCATTCATCTCATATGTGTAGCTCACATTCTGTGTACCAGGCACTGTGCGAGTTGTGAAGGTTCACCTGTGACAAGACTCCGTCTTTGCGACAGGCTTTATCCTCTAGTGGAGGAAATAGACGATTTAAAAGTAGTGTGTGTGTGTAGTACATAAAGGCCCAGAAAGTGGAAGAACAGAGTGCTAAGGGAACAGCTAGAAGAGGCACCAATCCAAATTTGAGGAGTCAAGAGGAATTGATGCCTAAGCCATTCCTTGAAAATTTAGTACTTAAAAACTGAAAACTGAGTTTTTCTGTTAAAGAACACGAACATACTGTTCCAGATGGAGAGAACAGACCATAAATGTTTACTAGGGAACTAGAGAAGGGGGCATCTTAACGACTGCGGGTCATAAGATTGTGTGTTCAAAAGACTTCAGTGTGGGTAATGCACTGAAAAAGCTAAAAGGTAGGATGGACCTATCAGATGTAATCCAGCAGAGAGATAAGGGCAGCCAGAATTTAGGAGGAGGCTTGCAAGAGGAAGAGAAGTGAATGGATTAGAAAGATATTTGGGGCAAAGAGGATTGATTCAATCTGTAGAGACAAGAAAAAGGAACTCTGGCCTAACCCCCTCTTTTCCTGTAGTTTCTGGCTAGTATGAGGCAAGGTTTTTCTAGAACTTGCAGCAAACCCCCCACTGCCATAGCTCTAGGATGTGGAATTTTGAGGGAGCTGCAGGAATGGGGCAAAGGTGAGATCACCCCAGAAGGCAGATGACATGGGATTGAAGTTTCCTTGTCAAATATCTAGTTTGAGAGGAAAGCAGCCCTAAACAAACTGTTATTTTGTTATTTCATATGCACTTTTGCTTTCTGTACCTGAACTTTTAAAGCATGGAGTCCTCTGCCACTGAGTCATCTAGGATCCATGAATAATTTAAAAAATCCCTCTTAGGGGCGCCTGGGTGGCTTAGTCGGTTAAGCGTCTGACTTTCGCTTAGGTCATGACCTCACGGTTCGTGGGTTCGAGCCCCGCATCGGGCTCTCTGCTGACTGCCAGTTTAGAGCCTGGAGCCTGTTTCAGTCTGTGACTCCCTCTCTCTCTGATCCTCCCCTGCTCACGCTGTCTCTCTCTCTCTCTCTCTCTCTCTCTCTCTCTCCTAGAAATAAATAAAAAACATTTAAAAAAATCCCTCTTAAAAACCTCTTTAATTATCAAAACAAACAAGCAAACCTCTTTAATTGTCAAAGATATTCCCTTTCGAGAGTTACAAACTCTATTTTAGGATGTACCTTTCAGTCCTTTAACTCCTAGCAAATTACATTTAATTTTTTTTAGTAAAACTCAGAATTTGAAAGGGCATTGGAGGTCAGTGTATCTGGGCCCTAGTTTTGTAAGTAAAAAAAATAAAGCAGAGATTAGGTAAAGTGACTTGTCCAAGATCACTGTCACACCATTGGTGACAGTGGACTTCAGTGGGACACCTGCCTCTCTCTGTAACCTAGTGTTCTGTTAGTACACCAGGCCTTTTGAAGGACATGTGATCATGCATGATCAAGCTCCGTGTGTTCAGGGCCCGTTTTAGAAATAGATTGCTTGTCATAGTTGATTTCCCAGTTCTTTAATAGTAAGTAAAATGTCTAAACTGGTCTGTACACTCCTTGACAACAGCAGCCACTGAGTGGCTTGTACATAATAGTCATTTAATAAGTCAGTCATACCTAGCTAACTACTAATCATCTTTTTCTGTTTCTTTAAGGGATTTTTGACCCCTTAGCACCTATATATTCTTTAGTGTATTTGTAAAATGGTCCTAGTATATATTTTTACATCATAGTTTTCTTAGTAACCTGTATGGGGGTGCCTGGGTGGCTCAGTTGGTTGAGGGTCGGACTTTGGCTCAGGGCATGATCTCATGGTTCATGATTTAGAACCCCACATTAGGCTCACTACTTTCAGCAGAACCTGCTTCCGATCCTCTTCCCCCTTTCTCTCTACCCCTCCCCTGCTCGCACACTCTCTCTTTCTCTCTCTCTCAAAAATAAATGTTAAAAAAAATGGTATGATGTGTACCTTCTTAATATCTTACCAGCATCTTTGCATTTATGTTGCTTTGTGCTAGTATTTATTTTCTACAATAGTCTGGTAGCATAATAAGCCTTGATTGTGCGTTTAATTTTGTCTCCTAACTTCCTTTATGGATATAAAACATATTTCAGAAAGATTAAATGACTTTGTAAAAAATAGACCTTTGGAGGTAGAAGTGCTGGCAGTTAAATGGAGGTCTTGACTTACAGTCTGTTGGAATATTCCATAGAATTCACTGTATTTATTAAGTTCATGTATTTCTCCATTACTCATGTTATTATCTAGCTTCATCACTGTTAGCAGGATTTTATGATCTCCCTCCTAAAATATCTGACCAAGGAGAATACTTGGAGATAATTTGTGGAGAAAAGGTGCAACTTGCTACATCAGGTATTCCTTTGATGAGGAGGGTCCAAAAAGAAAAAAAAAAAGAAAAGAAATAGCGAGGAAAAGAATAAAAGGAGAAAGTAAAAGAAAGGAGAGAGGGAAGAAAGTTGCAGTAAGAGGTGATCGCTCACTGCCGTTTGACACCGGCCAGCCCATCTACATACCCTGGGTCCTTGGTATACCGCACCTGCAGACGTGCAAGTTGAGGATATGGTATGAGTTTGCAAACATCTGATGTTCCCTAATTGTACTTTACCCTAGAGACCTTCAGAGAAGACATGGCTTCCGGAGAAGAGAACACGAAGAGGACAAACAGAGTGCTAAGAATAAGTCAGTTGGATGCACTTGAACTGAACAAGGCCCTGGAGCAGCTGGTTTGGTCCCAGTTTACTCAGTGCTTTCATGGATTTAAGCCAGGGCTGTTAGCCCACTTTGAACCAGAGGCGAAAGCATTCCTGTGGCTCTTCTTGTGGCGCTTCACCATCTACTCTAAAAACGCCACCGTGGGACAATCCGTTTTGAATATACAATACAAAAATGATTTTTCCCCAAAGCTGCGGTACCAGCCGCCAAGCAAGAATCAGAAGCTGTGGTATGCTGTGTGTACAATCGGCGGCACGTGGTTGGAGGAGCGCTGCTACGACCTGTTTCGAAACCGCCATCTGGCGTCATTTGGGAAAGCCAGGCAGTGTGTGAACATCATGGTTGGACTTTTGAAATTAGGTGGGCTGATCAATTTCCTGATTTTCCTTCAGAGGGGCAAGTTTGCAACCTTGACAGAACGCCTCCTAGGCATTCATTCTGTATTTTGCAAGCCCCAAAACGTACGTGAGGTTGGCTTTGAGTATATGAATAGGGAACTTCTCTGGCATGGTTTTGCGGAGTTTCTGATTTTTCTCTTACCACTTATTAATATCCAGAAGTTGAAAGCTAAGTTATCCTCATGGCATATTCCTCTGACTGGCACGCCTAGCAGTGACGGTACTTTAGCCACCAGCGGCAAACAGTGTTCACTGTGCGGAGAGTGGCCCACCATGCCTCACACCATAGGATGTGAGCATATCTTCTGTTACTACTGTGTTAAGAGTAGTTTCTTATTTGACATGTACTTTACGTGCCCTAAGTGCGGCACAGAGGTACACAGTCTGCAGCCACTGAAATCTGGAATTGAGATGTCAGAAGTGAATGCTCTTTAGAAACTAAGACTGTCCTCTGAGGAAAACTGTATTGTGTTTAAGTCCTTAATATTAGTCATGCTAAGCATACCATTTAGGTATTTTTATGAGGGGAGGTGCTTCTCAGCCACCGTCATCTCTTCCTTTCCAGGCACGACTAAATTCTAATCACTAGAAACCACATGATTCTAAATATATTATGTAAACAGTAATGTATTACTTTCTTTAAACCATTGCCTTCAATTTTTAATGTTGAGAGGAATGGGCAGTTTTTGTCAGAGTACTAAAAAGGCTTTCATTTTGCTCCTTCCTGGAAAGAGGTTAGATTCTAAAATAATTTTGGAGACTCTGGGGTGAGTGTGTATTTATTTTCAGAGATGGCATTGTAACATCTTAATCTTACAAAGATAAAGCCCTGTTGTTTTAAACCTTAAGATCTGATGCCCCTGTTGTAATTTTAAGCTTTTCACTAAAACCTGATTGTAAGGGGTTTGCTTGGTGTTCTGATCTGGCTGGAGTAAGAGTTTCCTGCCTAATAGTTCTGGCTAAGTCTAGGACTCACAGTCCTTGGTCTGCCTGGGACTATGTCCACATTTGTGAACCAGGAAGGAAAACTACTGCTCTTGATTACTCAGATGTAGGTGACAACCTCATGTGTGCCACACGGACCCATAGTAGGAGAGTAGGCAGTTCACCACAGGAAACTGAGGTGCCTTTGAAAGAATAGTGGATGTTGGGTAGGTAAAAACAACAGATCCCTATTAGAGTCTACATTTGCCTTTTTTACCAAAAGCCTGCATGCAGTCTTTAATTTTACCAGCGATCTAAGTTGATAAGGATATAACTGAATGATTAACTTACTAGACTGCTGATTTGAGAGGATTAAATAAATAAAGTCAACACATTTTGTTATCAACAATTTTGTTGCAGTGTTATTTTGGTAAAGTGCATTCTGAGTAGATGCCCATACTATCGTAATTTTAACATGAAAATAGTATTTTACATATATGCTAACTAATAGAGTTGTCAATATTATGGGGGTTTTATGTTTTTCCACAGACACTAAAGGCAGTACAATTTATTTAATTTTTTTATTGTTCTTTAACATCTTCCACCTCACTAAGTGATTACCCACATGAGGTCAGAGAGTATGACCATTTTGCTCATCACTGGATACCCAGAACCTTCCTCTCCTAGTGCCAGTGTGCCAGTAGAGACATTCTGTTAGTTGAACAGCCACACCTAATAATCACAGATTGGGTTTTGCAGAAGCAGATGCTGCAAGGGTTTTTAAGTAGCCCGATCCGGGCCAAAGTAGTCAGGCCATCTTACCTGCACCTCTCAGTCACTGGCCATGGGCTTCTCTGGGAATGGTGTGACCTGGGGCATGGCGCCTCTCTTTAGGTGAGGCAGACCCTAACGGAGCTGACTCCTGCAGGTAGCCTGCTGACCCCACCCCCCAGCAGGGCAACAGATCATCCTAGGAGGAGCTGGGCATCCAGCCTAGTGTTCACCGCATCTAACACTGTCTCTCCATTGTTTTTCCTTATAGTTTTCGTTTTTGTTTTTCTTGCTTGCAAGCATACAGACATCACACTAGCAGTGTTCAACTTAAAACCATTGGGTTTATGACTGACTTGTGTACTCCAGCGCTGCTTCAGGGAACTCCAGCTCACCGCAGAGACCTAAGCCTGCTGGCTAAGCTGCTGTGACAGTCCCAGACCCCATTCAGTCCCTGCCTCGCTGTGCACTGCCACGAGACTTGCTTTAACATTTCTCTTCCTGCTCCCCGGCGGTCTCAAGGCTCATGGTACAGTATAACTGCACCCAGTATAACTGGGTCATATTTAGCGGCGTGATATATTTCTGCTTTAGCCTCAAGAACCTAACTATCAGCTGTGAGTATCTTCCCTCTGGAAAAATAAAAACTTTTATGCTAACATTGTTTTTCCTCCCCCATGTAACTTGTTGTCAAATCATAGTTGCTCCTTCTGTATATAATGTATCCAGTTGCTTCAGTGATCATATGTAAAATACATACCAGTCAAAGCTAACCCATGGCATGTCCTGCTCCCTTGCTCCCAACAGCCCCACCTCAGAACTCAGCTCTTTAAGTCCTAAGATTCAGCTTGATCACCCTGTGAAATGGACATTCAGTAGTATCTACCTTTTAGGACTATGCTGGGAATTAAATAAGATCATTCTTTTAAAAATTACTTATTAAACCCCTATGGGCATTCTTCTATACTCAGAAATTTACTCATAAATAAAAACTCCTGCTCTCATAGAGTTTACATTCATGGAGGAATAATAGACAATAAATACATATGGAAGATCATTTCAGTTGTTGGAAGTACTCTGAAGAATAAAAGGAAGCAGGCTAAGGGAACGGAGAGTGACAAGGGATGCTGTTTTAAACTGAATACTCATGTAAGGCCTCTCTGAGGGGTTGAAGTTTGGAAAGACATTGGAATGAGCTGAGAGAAAAAGTCAAGTGGAGGAGAAGTGCCAGGAAAAAGATATGGCAGGTGCCCCAGCTCCTAGATGAGAGTCCATTCCTGGTTGAGGAACAGTAAGAAATAGAGTGACAAGAGAGAGAGGTAGGAGATGAGTGGGGTGAGGGGACCCAGGGACAGACCATGAAGGTCTGTATGTATTCTAAGTACAAGGAAGTCACTGAAAGATTTTAAGTAGAGGAGCTACAAGTTCAGATTTTTAAAGGATCCCTGTGATTTAACATATGAGTAAAAGCCAGAAAACCTCATCAAAAGTCTTATAGCAAATAATCATTTGGTATGAACAATAGTTATTATTATTTCCATTAGGTTTGTGGTACAGTAACTGTGTCACTCTGAAATGGTCAGGAACCTGGAAGTTAACAAAGCTGTAGGAAACCAAAATAGATTTTCATGGATTCCACACAGCAGAGCTCTACTCAACATACTTCCTTGAGTCCCCACGTAGAAGCTGCTTTATTTTGAATAGAATCCTAGTGAACTTCCAACAAATGACTGAAAATAACAGTTAAAAGGGAGGGAGAAAACTGATGAAAGCGAGCATGTTTACAGTAATAAATAATAAAAAAAATTCTTGAACAATGAACAACAACAACAAAAAAACCCTACAATCTGGTGACAGAGCAGGGACACATAGGCTCTGAGGACCGAATGAATAATTCAAATAGTCTTAAAAAATGACCTTGGATCATCAATAAAGTTTACCTTATGTTCTGTATAATTTGGTTAAGAAGGCAGGGGCATTAGTATTATTATATTGGAGGACGCCTTCAAATTATGTTGGCACCTACAGGCAAAAATTTAATTCACTCAGAACATTTGCTTTTAACAAAAAGCTATTTTCTCCTAGCAGGCACTTAACAAGTGAAGTGTTACTGAATTAAGATCTTTTCAGCAACGGAACAATTCCCAACACATTTTTTAGCCAAACCAGTTGGCCATAGTATCTATAGAACTGATGCTCCATGGTTCTCGGCAGCTAAAACTAGTAGATAGAACACATTTATATTCATCACAAGTCAGTTGACCAGTATTTCGCTGGTATGTCTGGGGTTTGTATTCCTTCAAAAAGCATTAAATCATGAAATAAGACAATACGTTTTCATGTTCCCAAGTAGTCACTTATTTTCTCTTTATATTTGCAAGAAAAAGCTGATGATTTTAAAATATATTTTTCTTAAAAGTAAGCATCATTATCATTTTGTCCACTGGCCGTCATCGAATACTGCCTTGAGTTGTTTTCTGGATGTTAGGACAATTCAGACAAGATTAATACAAGTCACTCCTGAGGCCAGAACATCCAAAAGCATGGTATTCAATAGGTAGTTCACTTTCCTTCTCATTAGGAGTAATTTTTCCTCACTAACAAATTCAACCCATTTATTGATAATATTCCAGAGCCATTAAAATCTAAATCTGTTTAGTTATGTGAAACTGATTTTAAAATCAAATGGGTGTGGACATGTTTATATGCATTGACCTTAGAATTTATCCCAAGGAAATGATAAGAATTTGGATATAGATTTATTGAAATGAATATAACTATAGCACTATTCATAATAAAAATGTGAAGCAACACAAATGCTTAATAATAGGGAAATAAATAAAATAGCATATCTGTTTAATGACTCCATGTTATATATAAATACCATGAAAAATTTTGTGCAAATATATAGTGAATGGGAAAAGTAAACACAATATAATATTAAAATGAAAGTTAGATATTAAATACAATATGATCTCAACAGCCACATCTGTATCTTGAAATGAGACAAACAGGCACTTACCATGAGCTAAGCAGGCAAATATGTGTAATGTCTTTGGCAGTAAATGTCTTTGGGTAATTCAACTTTAATCTTCTTTACATTTTCTTTTATTTCCTAAATAGAAAAAAAACTTTTTTTTCTACATTGAGCATATAATATTTCTTGATCACACCAAAACCAGTTATTTTTTTTTTTTAGGTTTATTTATTTATTTTTGAGAGAGAGGGAGGGAGGGAGAGAGAATCTCAAGCAGGGTTCTCATGGTTAGAATAGAGCCCGATGAGGGGCTTGAAGTCAGAAACAGTGAGATCATGGCCTGAGCCAAAATCAAGAGTTGGATGCTTAACCGACTGAGCCACCCAGGCACACCAAAACCAGTTATTTCTTTAAAATCTCATGGCCAGTTTCATTTCATTCAATTCAAAGGTAAGACATCTGCACAGCTAGTAAACAAGTAAATGTGAATTTAGGAGATAAAAGATCCTAAAAAACCTGAGAGTACCCATTTTTTTTTTGCATGACAATAAAATCCTGCCTTTTTGGCCAACCATAACTGTTGAAAGAGTCTGAATTATTTCATACATTTTAAATTAAATATTAAACTTGATTCCATATAATGCATACATTTCTTAAACAGGTAGAAGTATATAGGCAAGAAAAAGGTAACAAGTGCTCACCCCCTTTTCCAGAAGCATTTGGTATTTTTATATAAATATATGGCATTTTTAAATAAGTGTAGTTTACTTATCTTAAAATATCTAGAACTCACATACTGGATCAAAACAATTGACATGAATATATTAATTTGCCTAAGCCTGTAAGATGCCTATATTTCCTCAACTAAGAGTCAAGACCCAGGATCTGACCCAAGATTCTATATTCCTTCCAGACATGGACACAAAAATGCTGATACTTCTGAGGTATTTTTAGAGGTTGATTGTTAAGACATTGCAAACTTGAACTTCAGCTGAGACTTAATAGTCAAAATTCTGAATTAGTGGAACCAGAGACTTTACTGTTCTGAGAAATGTCCAGGAGGGTTCCTTCATAACCAACCATCTCTCACTAAGCATTCAGGAAATAGTATGCCTGTCCTGACAGCCTCTATTGTTTTAAATCCACATCAAATTCTAAGAGTGCCTTTGAATTCAACAAAAATTATAAAACACTACAGTATAGTCAATTGCTTTAAAAATGCTTTGCTCCAGACCAAATACAAAGAACAAATATATTCTTTGAGAGCAAGCACCCCTAAACCAATATTGCATGTGATATTTCTTAGTGCCCTTCTCAAACCTACTAGAATATTCTTTAGTTTCAACTAGATAACTCTTTTCTCACACAGCAGAATTGACTATGAGCTCAGTAAGGACAGACTCTCTCTCTCTCTCTCTCTCTCTCTCTCTCTCTCTGCCTCTTTCTATGCCCCCCTCCCCCACCTCTCATCTCTTCTCTCTCTTTCCTGACAGGGCAACCAAAAACAGTGACTAACACAATCCAGTTGCTTAGTAAGTGAAGAAGGCAAGAGGTTTGGGAGTTTGATCATGAAGCCCCTCCCAAATATCGAGCAGAGCCACTGATGGATTATTGTGGGAAAATTTCCACAAGCACTTCTTTAACAGTGTAGAGAGGACAGC